GGCCCATGTGACTAGGACATGTGACTAGGGATGCACCGATACCACTTTTTTAAGACCGAGTACGAGTACCGATACTTTTGATCAAGTACTCGCCGATATCAATTACAGATACGTTTTCTTAAAGGACCAGGTCACATTTTTTCTAAAGCAATACAAACTAATGATTTTAGGTCAGTTTCTTAATATTATGATTCATGAGATGACGAGGGAGCATGACGCCGGCTTCCCGTCCAATCAGAATGCCGGGCGCTGCGTCATTACACGGCACCCGGCTTCTGGATTGGCTAGCTTTCTGACCAATCGGGAAGACGGGCAGCGCGTCATTGCCGGTAAGTCGGCTCCATGCTCTCATCACAAGTGATGAGAGAGCATGGAGCAGTTTCCCGGCCAATCAGGAAACCGGGCAGCGTGTAATGACGAGCTGCCCGGCTTCCTGATACAGGAAGTACTCGTGCTAGGTATCGGAGCATTTGGGCGAGTACGAGTACTCACCCAAATACTCAGTATCGGCACCGATACTAGTATCGGTATCGGTGCATCCCTACATGTGACCATGCACATCATCTCAGGGGAGGAAAATGCCTTTCCCTGAGATCTCGTGAGATTACAGATGAGATTTCTCAGCAATGATCTGCTGATGTAACCTTTCCAGGGAGCAATGCTTGGGCCATAACATCACTTTTGCCAAAGAGAAGCAGAAAGTAGAAAACAAGACAGTTTAAGTAAAATGAAAATAAAGTTTGTTTATCTAATGAATGTAGGATGATTTAATATCAGCAGGCAGAGCTGCTGATATGACACATAGAAATTTCATTTGCATATAAAGACAAATTCCTGTCCCCTGCAGCAAGAGGTGTTGCGAAAACTTTCTCCGTCAGCTTAATATAGGGACTGCTAATATTTTATATCATGCTACAGATTCACTAAAATTATGGGCATGGCCAGATAGTTACTAACTATGGCACTAATCTTACCATACATTCTGTCACTAACATCACATTAACAAATCTCATTTCATTATCTGTCACCAACTATCATGCATGGCCTCTCGGAGTAACCCTATGTTTTAGAGCTCGGTCAGTTCTGCAGAAACACCCTGAACACCTTCAGGCCTTGGTCTGCTAGTGAGGCTACAGACAGGAATGTTTAGCTTGGTTGATCGTTCCAGCTCTTGTAAATGGAGCAGCAAGGAACGAAGAAAAGGACAATGTTGGGGAACAGGGGGTACAATCACAATCGTATCAGGATTTTTAACCTGCACAGGTGACTTTTAACACATGAAAGTCGGATTGGGTGACTGTCCTTTTGTCCCTATGTGCACTTATAGTGAAATCTTTTTTATTTAATAAGCATCAATCTTTTAATTCTCCTTTCAGTACATCACTTTTTTTTTTAATAGTCTGCATGTGACAGGAAAAAAGAAGCTTGTTTTTCCATAGGGACTAGAAATAGGACTAAAAATGTACAGAGAAGATCTGCAGATGTGTTAGTGGAATATAATAGCTCATTATGTCTATGAATGGCAATGTGCCCACCAACAAAGCACATTTTCTGTGAATCAGCATATCTTAGATGTACAAATTGTTGCTAATAGCCATGAATGACACATATCAACTATGAAACTTATCCATCCAACATTTAAAGAGACTATTTCATGGAGCAAAATACCTGAGAGATATGCCTCGGATAGAAGCTGTCGTTGTTTGTCACCCAATGCAGTGAAGCAAAACCTGTTCAGCTTTACTGGGAGTAAAACCATTGCTCTGGAGTTAGTATAAGGCACAACAGACAGAGAATAGCAGCTTCCATATGAGGTTTCTCCCATAAGAATGTTGTTTTTTGACAGATTCCCTTTAAATGTCTAACTTGGAAGCTTAAAGCCTAACTCTGGCCAAAAAGCAAAACAACCCCTCACTACAGTCAACAGTATGGTCCTCTTCTCTCCAGCATGCAATGTGCACCAACACCACATCCCATTCTGATAACATGGCCACTGTACCTGCACTGATTGCATGAGGACATCAGTGAGAGGGACAGCGAGAAGAGTTGTCAGAGGGCTGGTAGAAAGAGTGGCTTCAGGGGACCAGTTTTTACAGCTGAAACCAGTGGGGAGGACCATGGAATAAGGTGAGTATTAGCCCATCCTCTAAATACACTAGTTCTAGATTATTCATCGGTCGGAGGGGGGTCTTAGTTAGCCAATTGTAATTATGTTAAGTTAGACTTTAAGTAAAGTTGGCTTTAATAAAGCCTGATACAAAGTATAATGATGAGTAGTATTCCACAATGAGTAGTACGGTATTAGTCTGTTTATGCTAAGCTCCTAAAAGCTGTTATCTTATTGGTTGTGGTTGTATTTTCTTTTTGTACCATTTATTCATTATTGTATTACAGTAGAACAGATTTTTATTCTCCCTCTAGTGGCCATCTGTATTTTACTGCAGTCAGTGAGCTTCCCAGATTGACTCATATTATGATAAAAGCTCAAAAACATAGAGGCTGCTTTGTTTTCAGTCTCATCATTCGAATGAAATGGGTCTCTTTCATTTGTATTTATTAAAAAAAAAAAAAAGGCTGTAGTTTCCTTTCAGTTGTTTGCCTTCTGTTTGTGCACATGAAGCATGCATTGGCCAAAGACAAAGATGGGATAGTACAAGTTTGTGAAATAGAGAAAACGCATAAAGCCTTAGCATGGAGCTGAACTCAAAAAGTGAAGATCTGCTTTGTTATAGGGAACATCTAAAAATGTTAGATGTGATTAAGCAGTAAGCTGAAAAATTTGCCTTTTGTGACGGTGCCTACAGACTCATAGGTGTATATCTGCAGTGTGAGATCCTCTAGGGCAGTGTTTCTGGTGAAAAAGATCGACACTTGCACACTTGGTTTGTAAATAGATGATATGCTTTTAATTATTATAATTTTATAAATGCATTTAACCATACACAATTTTACTGTTAAAGTTTATTGTCTACCCTACCCTAATATAGTAATATAGTTATTGTCTACCCTAATATATAATACATCACTTTTTTTCAGGGCTTTAATTTGTTATAAATTGGGATAAATATATTTTCTTATTTCCTTGGGTTATATTAGGAATAACTAGTAACAAAAAAATTGAAAAATATGCATTTACCTGTAATTGTTCCATATGCAACTTTATGTATTTTGTGCACCCCCAATTATTTACCACCAAATATAATCCATAGAGTCTGCTGATTAAGATAAGATTGGGTCAGGTTGACAAGGGCACAAATTAGCTCCAAATTTTTCACAGGTTTGCAATCGTTAAAAATTGGATTCACATTGCACTCACGTGTGGGATTATTTACATACACTCTGTATATTTCATTTTTCTATTTTTTTTACTCCTTTTCCTCATGGGAACCTGTATCTAGTCAGTAGATACCTAATCCAGAGTTTCAATGCAGCTGTGCAGCAACAGATCACTTCTAATAGTGATCTATTGCTGGCTGCAATCATCCAGCAATAGATCGCTACAGCAGAGCTGTACTGCGTGTAGATAAACTGGGCAGAGCTGCTCTACCTTAGCCTCCATACTGACAGGAAGTGCTGTGACTTTGTTTGTGATCTCACACCCTTTTAGTGTGTGTGTGTGTGTGTGTGTATGTCACAATGCAGAAAAATTATGTTAACATTGATTTGCTACAGGTACCCCTATGGAGCACTGTGTGGCAAGATCAGGAGCTTATTGTTGCAGTGCTGGATCTCAGCTGTCACTGACAGCTGGCAGTTGCAGCACCAGAAGCCACCAGGAACTACAGAACATATCAGTTCAGGTGCCATTTGTAAACAGCATTGGGACAAACAGCCGTTGTATGATGTGAAAAATGCCATGAAAAGTAGTGTTGCCTTAAAGGAAACTCTTACTTCCAGCATTGTGTATCACAGGCAGGGCCCTCCTTACCATCTTGTCCTAAATTGTATTGTGACTGTAATGTCCGCCTTATATTTTAAAACACTGTACAAACTGTTGGCGCTATATAAATCCTGTATAATAATAATATTATCATAAACCAAACATAAAAGATAAAAAAGACACTGTCAGTGTCACTTTTCCAATGCAATGAAAAGTGAGTGCCACCCCCGATCCCCTTATACACATCTTTGAATCCCCCACCAATCCTTTCTGCACTCCATTACAGCCAGCAACAATACTCTCTGTAATAGCACATTGGTCTAACAGCCAAAGGTTAGGTTTGAGCAGTGTCACATGATCGGGGGGCTGTGACAAACTGAGTGCTGGCAAGATGAGTTTAAAGTTTACCTTTAAGACCATGTTTCACGTTACACCCATATTCAGGGTGTACCATGAAACATGCCCACACCGCAATACCCTCACCCCCCTCCCACCCCCCACTTATTTGATTCTCGTAGTACTGCTGCCAGCGAGCTGCTGCCCTGCCCACACAGCCGTGTCATTCATTCACAGACCCTTTGATAGGATCTGTGACTGGAGAAAATACAAATCCCATCAGCCACCGCTGCAGAGGAATTTGTTGCTTTTAGTGGAGTGATGTCACCGCACTTGTAATCCCTTCCATGTTACCGAATGTTCAAGGACAGGAGGGAGAATCTGCGATAGCCAGAGCATTGCCCACGATCTACTGATCACGGTTTACAATGTTTTACTGGATTCAATGCAAGAAAAAATGAAAAAAAAGATCTGATGAACATTTCCAGGTCCCACTGATTTTAGTAGGATTGGGCAGTGACAAAGAGTGTCACTGGGTAACTGTAGACCATAGTAGACAACACTAGCCCAGGGGTCTCATGGCGTAAGTCTTTGAGCCGTGCTGATGGCTGCTGATTGTCACCCAGAGATTAGAGCTGAAATAATAGACCTGCATGTATACAGAAACATAGCACCACCACGTAATGTATGAGCATAGCCTTACCCAAATATATTGTTTACTGTATATGCCAAGCAAGTAGAAATTGATTTTGAATTATATTTCTAAAGAGTTTTTCTTTTTTAGTTATAGGATCACAGAGGAGGAGGAGTCCCAGCTCTATGATCATGGACATCTTTGAATCTCATCTAGGAAGTCATATCTTACAGGTAAAGCAAAGTAACATATGTGCTACAAAAATAACTTTAACAAAGGCAACGTATTGCAGATGATTTCATAATTGATGTAAAATATATAACATACATTAAAAAAATTAAGTAACATATTAGTTTACAGTATTATTGACTAGAGAGCATTCCTGCACACCGGATTTCCTTCTTATAGGCTCTGTATTTTAAGAGACAAGTCATGCAATGTACAAGCCTATATCAAGAATTCATGTAGTCGGTGCAGTAAGCACTGGGCTACACTGACCACACTGTTCTATGTGGAGACTATTTACTTTTGTATATAATTAGCCTAAAAGGCATAGTGCACCCACAGATTTTAAGAGTCAGCACCCGCAGGCTTATTTTGTGGTGCTTAGAGATTTGTAATTGCCAATTTTTATCCTCCATTGTCTCTCTGGAAGATTTGTGTGCATCTTGCACCTCTGACCATTATTAAGCCTGCCACTATCCCTTTTGGATTTCTTTTTTATTTTATATGGTGGAGGATGTAACCAAAGGAATTGGAACATATAAAGTTGGTTGTGAACACCCAAATCCCCCAGGTGAGCAGGAACTAAGGCAGGGAGATTTCACTATTGGCGTATCCAAGACATATGTGAGGCCAGGGGTGGACTCTGCCCACCAGGCTCCATTACAACAAATTAAAGCAGCACAGTTTTTAATATAATTTGTCTATTTTTTTACAATGGTTTCATTAATAATGGTTTGGGTTTATCTTGTTTTCTTAAATGTTGGTTTTGGTTAGATAAATGCAGGCTTTAATTTTGCATGAAAAACGGTAGAGTTTTATGTTAATTATTGTGCACAGGGAAAACATTCATCTTGTTTATTCTTCATCTTTATTCTTCTTGAGCTGTCACCAGTGTTTAGTTATGTGGTACATCATTCTTAAAGAAAATCCAGGCAAATAGCTTAATACATTGAAATACACTTTGCGACCCAGACACTCCATCCATACACCACGGCCTGGTCCCTGACATTACTTTTCTCCGTTACAGTTAAAAATGCGATTGGTCACTGACCCAAACAAAACAGATGACAAATGCACCCATCAATTCGTCTCCAGCTTTACAGTAAGGTGCACACGGAATGGGCTTTAAACAGTATAATAGCAAAAAGTTTTCCTGGCACACTCACAAGCTAGCATGTCAAAAAACTTGTCTCACACTAAGATTAAAAACAGAGGTTTGGATACACGTCTTCTGCAGAAAATGTGAAAGCCGCACAGCAGCGCCAAGGCACCTCTTATAGTGCGGTCCTAACTCTAAACTATAAGAGTCACTGACCCACCCCCAGCCTGCTCATCTGAAAAAGCATTGGCACACTCATTCTGCTGTTTTCATGCAGCCAGTACGCTCCCAGTGTTAGATTGACGGCACTATGCAATGCAGTCTCACACTGCTGCCCCTCCAACCCACTTCTTCTGTGCAAAGGGATGCAAGAGACTACCATATAAAAAGCTGCAGGTTCTTTTAGAATTAGTATTTACAAATACATAACATGGAATACATTTTAATGTTTTCTTATATATGGGGACTGCATCTTAAACATAGGCTGGTGGTTTTATCTTTAGTTATAAGGGGTTAAAATTTTACCAAATATATAAGGAAAAGATTGTATCTGTCTCATCATTCTTTTTAGATTTAGTGATTTCTTTGAAATTGTCATAATGTCCTTGTAAATTATATTAAATAATGGTATTGCCTCTTCCACCTTGCCTGTTTTATTCATTGGGCTTATAAAATTCCACAATTATCTGTGAAGGTTGGCACAGCATGCTTCCCAAAAAAAGTAAGATGCCCTGTTACTGGAAATTAGGACAACATGCTATTTCTATCATTTATTTTTAATTGTCTATTCTGAGGCAAGAGTGGAAGGATTCATTGTTACAGTCAGTACCGAAGTGACATGGATGGATAGAAAAGATAGATAAATCCAAATGTCACTTAAGGAACATTTCTTACCCCCCTTTTGTAGGTGTTATAAGCCCTTCACCGTGATTTTGTGCTTGCTTGTTTCTAGGTCAACAGTATTCAAATAAGAATAGTTTAAATATGTGTTTTACCTGTAGATATATCCAGTCACTTTAATAGATTTACAACATCTCACACTCACACAAAAGGACAGCTGCAGATGACAATAGAAAATGGGCCCTGTAATGTATCTTTCCATGGACTGCATAAACAGGAAATTAAAAGACTACTAGTAGCCAACTATAACTGGTCCAACCAACTTTAACTTAAAGTGACATTAAACCCTCAGATTTTTTAACATAAAACAATACTGTAATGTGTGCCTTACTGTAATCCATGGTAGCTTCCCTTCTCTTTGCTGCTCTTCCTTTTAAATCTGTATCACTTCTCATGCTGGGGGAGAACTTCCCTTTGCAGGGGCCTGCCTTGTCTCTGGAATGGCTACATGGTGTCTGTGTGAAGGTTCACAACCTGAGCCAGCACTACAGGAAGAGGCACTCAGCTGCAAAGGGAAGTTCTCCCCAAGCATGAGAAGAGATACAGATTTAAAAGGAAGAGCAGCAAAGAGAAGGGAAACTACCATGGATTACAGTAAGGCGCACATTACAGTATTGTTTTGTGTTAAAAAATCTGAGGGTTTAATGTCACTTTAACAGATTTTTTCTCTTTGTTTTTTTTCATCTATAGCGTCTGTTTAATTCCCTCAGCTATGATTGTTTTATATCAGTATGCAGTCTCTAGACCGCTGTGTATCCCCGTCACTTTAGAGTGGTGTCTGTAGAACAACTTCAATATCTCTTTCTCCTCTTGTGGCCATAGACATGCTTCTTTAACCACACTTCAGCAAGCAAAGCCTCTTGTTCTGCGACCTCTGTCCCTGAAAAATACACTTCATTTAAATAGTTGATGAGGTTGCCTGGAAATACATATGAAAACTGTATTTAAGCTGTTTGTGTCCTATCAGTGAGTCTAAATCTCTTGTGGAATCAAGCAGGTTCAGGGTGAAGCCAGGGCAAGAGTTTTTAAGTGATGATAATTAATCACTGGCATGATTATAGAAAGAACTGGACAAATCTAAGCTTTGGCATGTCAAAGAACTGCAAATAAATAATAGATTTACTATAAATATGGTAGCCGTGGCTTTCTGCGGAAAGGTGGCTTGGTGGAAAAGCAGCCAATGATATTGGTGTCTTCTAATTAGCTCTTAGTGATACTTGATTAAGATAAATATTAGTGATGTTGTCTCGATGGCTGTAAAGAAGATGGAATGGTTTGCTTTGGGAAGGGTTAATTCAGCAGTGCTCTTTCTCCGACACCTCTGATCAATTGGTAGATGAATGGATGGCTGCAGCCCCAGCGCTGACATTTAAACCAGGCATCTGCCTGTGATTGATAAAGTCCCGCAGGCGGCCATCAACACAGAGAGGGCAGGAAGGCGAGTGTACGTATAATGGAGCATCCTTGCAAACTGTCTCAGTGCGTATTGGTAAAGAAAGGCGCAGCTCAACACATTTGCCTGTTCCCAACGTTTTATTTTATTGATTATGTGTCTTTTCTGTTTTCCTTTTTTTTTTGTAAGGCCTTTTTTTTAAATTTCACCATAGGTACCTTCCACCCAACTGAGGGCATGCATTACAGTGCAGCAAGTGCCCTTGAAATGCCATTTGTTTGAATGGCACCCCAATGCACCTCCCGGCTGCAATGCTTTCCACCGCGGCACAATGCATGGTACCGCAATACCATGCGTTGCGGTAAAAAAAAAGTAGTACACGGTAGGTAGCATGTGTTATTCGCATGGTAGCACGCTAAGAACACACTGCAGCATTGTGAATGGGCCCAAAATCTTCAAGAGGATGATTGTATTATAAGCAGATCTTGTGTGCAATAGGATATATTCACTGCATGGGGACCTCACATATACTACAGCTGACTTTTGTAAAATGGATCCTAGTAATTATTATGCTGGAAACTGCACAATGTGTTCATATTTATGTAGTATTTAATACCATCCACAGAAAAATCAGGTCTGGGTGTGCCCATGGTGTAGTTGGTGTTCAAGAACACACATGTGAAATACCATTTTTACAAACAGGAGACATTTCACAAGAGTCAATTATGGTCATTGTTCATCCAGCGTACAGGGACCATGTAGTAAACCCAGAGCACTGTAGCTGTAAATGGCCAGGAAAGTTTAGTGTGTACTTTCTTTGAAGTTTAGTACACACAAGCACTAGGCATAGAGATAGGACTAATTTTCAAGAGCATGATAGTGTTTTTTTTCCTGGTGGGGAACCATCCAAAGGATCTCTCAACAAAAACAGGAGTTGCAGCATCAGTGCATCCACACAAAGCATCCACCATTCGAAGAAGAACAAAGCATACTCATTTACTTAATACTCAGCTGTAGAGAGACATTCAGCTCATTAGAAATGTGTTACAATTGTCAAGAAAGCGGTCAGTATGCATTACTGATGGCTGCGGAGTGTTCTTGTGGGAATCCTGTATTCAAGGTGTAAAAGTCCATAGGGAGGCATGAAATATTCCAGGATTTTCTGTCCCTTTATCCTTTTAGGTCCAAGCAGCTCATCCAGATTGTACCAGAGATGATAACATTGTGTAATTTACACTCCTCCCTATACCTCCATTGCTTCAATCCATGAGTTAAAAGCATTAGTACAAGATTTGTCTGCTAGGTAATAATGGTCTGCACTTGGGTTAAGGGGAACCTGTAATGTGTATGCAGCGTATCATTGTGCTGTTGAGAAGTCTTATATAAAATAATGTTGCTTAGTGGCTAGCCCTTCTGCTTATAACACTGGGGGTGCTTCTGTTTGAATCCCATTCAGGACACTCTCTTTGGGTGCTCTGACTCCAAAGACATGCTTGTAGGTTAATTGGCTCCTGTCTAAATCGGCCCTAGTATGTGTGTACTTGTATATATGTATGCATTTGAGATAGGGACCTTTTAGTAAGCTCCTTGAGGGCTGGGATCAATATGTATGTAAA